GCAGCCGCGACTGGTGGCGGAGGAACAGCTTGAGGAGGAGGCGAAGCGAGTTTGCCTTTGTTCAAAATCCAGATCCCAACAAGAAAGTTGATTATTCGTAATTTGGGTAACTTCAAATCATCCAGGAGCTCGATGTAGTCCGGTAAAGGTTCACTGGACAAGAGCGGTATGATATATAGCTCTTTTCCTGGATGATGGTCTTTCGGCCGATTACCCCAAGGAAACACGAGTCCATGCCGCCTGAAACAATCACAGATGAGCATGTTTAATGAAAATGATATATCGAGTAGATACTTACCCTTTGTTGATGAGAAATTCCGAAAGACTTTTGAATCCAGAGTCATCAGCATCAGGAACTGATGAGAATGCGACGGCCACCAATTCCTTCGAGGAGTTCATACGCATCTGCAACAAGAACTTGGCCGAGTTTGGTACGGGAACACGTCCGTCGATTCTGAGGGTATCGGAAGGAAACAGCGTTTTCCATTGCCCAGAGGACAACTCAATATGTCTGCCGCCCATCTGGCGACCGATTACCAGAGTCTCTTGAAGGACGGAAGAGTCAAGAGGCATGTTGATCTACGGATATAAATTAGTACTTGAAGAATATATTGCTATTTGGCGATGCTTACCTTTCCAGACCATACTTGGGGAAGGGCGTCAAATGTAGCCTGCGCCGCTTCAGGGGTTTCAGATTCCTTTTCCTCAAGAAACATATCGAAATCCTGGTCGTTAGGAGTGACAGATTCGCCCTCCATAGCTTTGTCCTTTGGTATAGATGCTTCAGGATTTGAGGTAGGTTCTACAGTCACAGAAGGCGCTTTTGAGAGATTCGACATAGACCACAATGAGTTGAGATCAAAAGCAGGTGCACGAGGGGTGGTGGGCTGAGCTGTAGGCGGAGGAGAAGGCGAGGATTGAGTGGCGGAAGGAGAAGCTACAACTTCAGGAGCAGGAGCGGGGGCGGGGGGAGCAGAGGACGGAGTTCCCTGGATGGCAAATGGAGATATACCTGTTGGTGATCGAACGATAGCGGGACCAGTAGATTCTGACGGCGAATGATGATAATCCGGGGACACAGTCTCTTGACCCCAACCCGGCTCATCGTCGATGTTAATTAAGTCCGCTAGATTTAATTCTGGTTCGGTAGCAACGGGTTCAGGTGAAGCGTTTGTGATTAATGAAGGTCGAATAGGAAGAGACTCCTTCGACGTGTCAAAAGCGTGCGCGGGAACTGGAGGAGGTGCGCCCCAACTTTCGCTGCTGGGCGTTAACGGAGACTCAGGCGGAACAGAGACAGACATGGTACGCTGTCGAGGCTGAATTGTCCTCAATCTCGCCAAACGTTCTCTCTCCATTCGCTCCTCCTCTTCCAGTTGACGCTCACGCTCACGGGTAATGTCGCGACCACTAATATCCTCAATATCTTCCAAACCCTTGTGTGTAATCTTGGTACGAGGCGCTGTGGTTTTAGTCAGAATCGACTGCTCCAATGACTCCTGCTCAGCACTTTTGATAGACTGCTTTAGCTCCTCGTTGGCTAAGTCAGTGGATGACATGAGAGATATTTCTTTGAGAGTTATAAGACCTGAAGCAACGCGCTTGTGAAGCATGACACGATCAACTTTGGAAAGATTAAATTGAAGCATCCGGAAGCGATCCCTGAATAACGCCATCAGCTCCGAGAAAAATATAAAACAGAAGACCGAAGCTTACTTGTACTTTGCTGCGGCCGCAGAGTTTCCATGCTTATCTGGTTCAGAATATATCTCAAATACACATTTCTCGAGATCATCAGCAAACTGCTTAGAATCCTCCAAAACGGCTGTCCGTTCCTCTTCTGTCAAATCCTCCTTACGCTTCTCCATCACCTGAGCGGCAGAGCCACTGTCCTCGCTCTTGCTACGTACATGAGGGTAACGAAGAAAGATATCTCGAAAAACATCCTCCAACTTCCCAAGACAATATCTCCTCGTAGGATCTTCCAATGGATCTGTGGTCTTGGCTTTCTTCGTCGGGGGACCCTCAGAGCTCCGCTTAGCAATTCTCTTTAGCGTAGGAGAAGAAGCTTTCCGTAGGCGAGTGGTGGGCTCATCAGAAAGGTCGGAAAGGTCAGATTCTGAGTGGTATGAAGGGGCTCGACGAGAACGGCGCTACAATAAATCTATGAGCTGGATTCAAGAGGGGAATAAAATTGGAACGTACCGTGCCTCGACCTCCTTTCGCCCTGGCTTCAATGACATAATCATCATCTTCTGAGTCTTCAGACGAAGAGAGAGGCTCTAGTTCTGGGGCCGCAGCTTTTTCCGTGGGGATTGAATCCTTTGGTGTTTTCGATTTTTTCCTGGGTTTTGGTGCAATGGGTAACGGGCCTGATTTCTTCGGACGCGCCTCTTCGACTGGGTCAGCTTCCTCCCATGACACTAAACAGAGAGAGACAAGTAGTCAATACCACATCCACGGATATCAGAATGAGAATTTAGTAACGTGTAACAATAAAGTCGCACTCGTAGTGGTACAAAGTAGTACAAAGTACAAATATTACTCAAGTTTGTTCTCGCAACCGTTTCAGGAATATACATGCCTCAAGCGCCCATCTAACGACATAGCAACAGAACTACTCGATTTGTGTGTATGATATTCAAGATTGGCTCGCTCGGACAATAACCGCGTAAGAGGTATTTTTAATTCTACCATTAACACCGGTGCGACATTTAAAGTGGGTAATGGCGAAAAACGAAGGGACGAAAAAAATACGCGGTGATAACGAAATCGAGACTCACTCAGTGAATGCAAACTAGTCTTCTCAGAACATGCAGGACAAACGAAAACACCTGGAAAAGCAGCCAGTGATTAGCACATGTGTATGCAGAGAGAGAAAGGCAGACTCACTTATATCTTCTGCATCTGTTTCGTCGAGGTTGATACAAGAAAAATGAAACCTACAAGAATTAAGCGCAATCACTTGAGTGAAAAATAAAGAACGTACCAATCCTTACATTCTGCACAGTGGATCATAGGTGTACCATCGTCGCCCTTTTTGCATGTACAAAATAGCTGATCTGAAACTGTGGTCGTACTAGATGCTATTTGAGAATCGATGACTGGGTTCTTCCCCTTAGTGTCAACAGTCATGTCCGTATCTGTTTCCTGCACATTCTTGTTCTCCTTCCCTGCCTGCGATTCCACATCTTGTGATTTGCTAGAAGGTTTGGAAGATTTGGGTGTATTTTTGGAAGCGGGTGCTGGAGAAGTAGAAGCAGTCTGCTTTGAGCTTCTAGTAGAGCGAGTTGTACGCGGACTCATGGTTAACGAGTGTTGCGCTGGGGTTGCGCAGCAGCTGAGATGGTGGTCGTGGAAGAAAAAAGAAATTCAAACTCCGCTTACCAACGACGAGTCATATGGGTCACGTGGCCTCCGCACGGAGGCTAACTCAGACTGAGACTCTAAACTTGTTCTGTGGCTTTCTTCGACGACATTGTCATTGGCATCGATATCACTACTGGACTATAGAACAATTGATGCCAGCACTAGAAACCACTGTGGCCATATCTATATCATACCCGTGAAGAAACTGTTCTCTGGCCTCACGACTCATTCCCCCTCGGTTATTCTTCCTTACATGTCTTTCCAAGTCCCATTAATATTACTCTACCTCTTCAATGCTCAACATTAATATTGCATGCCCTGGCCCGTGTCAAAAAATTCAAGATCTCTTGTCCTAGGCCTTCTTCTCTCTCCTAAAGTGCAAAAAATCACGCGCATTTCGCGCACTTTGACACTTCTCCCTCTTACTTTTTTGCTTCTTGCTGATCCTATACATCCGACTGCGCCTCTTCTACATATGTTTTTCTTCAGAGATGGAGATGACACGGCACGGGAAGATTGAAGCTGTGAATATTCTAGTTGATATTCGCATGGAATACCAATGGATATACAGAGTCGTCTCTACAGCTTGTGCGTCTGTTTTGCCATAGGCTTAGGTGGCATCATGAACTCTGTTCTGAGAAATAATTTTCTAACATATCTCTCCATAGCGTCTAGCCCCAGCCAGCTTCTGAGTAGAGTCTGAGCATGTCGAATAAGTCTGGAATCATCAACGACTTTGACAGTCCGGGCCGCTACCGTTGTTCAATTAAGAGACTCCGATTGTCGAGTTCACGCTAATTTCTTGGGTTTGTGAATTATGACTGGTGTCGATTCTCAACGTTTAACGTTCAAGCCCGATTCAAGCCGCCTGATAAAATTTCCTTGAATTATGTACTTGGCGTCATACTCTTCATCAATTGCGAGTGCACTCACTTTGCTTCTCGGTCTGAGCCTCCCTTTTAGCATTTAGTGTTCTTGCTGCCATCTCTCAAATCTTTCCAGATTCTGGTGCCTGTGCTGTGCTTCGCGCCTCTAACATTTTCGATTCTCTGTCAATCTTTACCAGCTGTGGAGTTGGGGGTCGCGCCTTTCACCGATGCGGGACTCTCTGTCCGTGTGCCAAGTGGGCTGCCCATACCGCTTTGAGACTCCGAAGGCGCTAGATATCTAGATCTGGTGAAATGTAGCCCCGGATTTCGAATATCAATGTACGAATATGTGGCTGGTGAATGCAGACTGGTGGCACCGCACAGCACCGCACGTATGTCCTACCCACTAGCCTCCTATCTGATTTCCAGTGGCGGTACGACTCAAAGGACTATGACAATGATTCTCGGAACTTGCGATATTTCTATTCTAGTTTATTTAGCTAGAGTCCTAACTTCCTGAGGCTCTATCCAAGTCCAAGGCCCCGTAATGGTCTATATGATCCTCGTTTTCCATTATGTGAATCAAATTCCTTGTTTGTGATTTACAAGGTTGAACCTTTCTTCTTGTTTACATATTATGTGCCGATCAATCTTGACTTGGGATGCGATACTCTAATTCAAATCCATTATTCTGGACTGGAGTAGTATTAGAATCAAAATTATTTAGAGAATAGAAAGAAAAACATGTGCTCCTGGACAACAAACCCCCGGCGGGACTCGAACCCGCAACCTTCAGATTTTAGAACTGTGACTAAGTCGTAGAAGTCTGATATCATAACCATTAGACAACGGGGGCGTCGTTCTGAATGATTCCAAGTGCATTCAATATTCGTGTCCTCCAAACTCCCTCATGTATTGACATTTGAATCATGCATTTGAACACTACCCGTATACGAGTACTGGAGCCCTTTCGGCTTTCCCAAGTTCCTTGGACAGGGACACCTGGAAGGCTTTCCCATTACAGCGCTTCATTCTGACGTTCCTCTTGATTCTTGAAGATGCCAAGGGAGGTGTCAAAACAATACGCAAACGATACATGTCTTTTGCCATCCGACTCAATGTTTTTTTGGCTCTGACAATCTTCTAGGATCCGATACTTTGTCCAATCATTACAATGCTTTGGTTTAAAGTTACTAAGGTATCCGACTCTCCGACCCCAGGGTCCGAACTCCCACCTGATATACTGTACAAGTACCTTTCTGTCTTAAGAAGGCTCTGGATTGGAGACGTATGATATCACATTATCATATGCCTTATCGCTCGATTGTGCCTTTCGAGTTTTATCAGGTTTTATCCCAGACTCGGAAGACTCGGAAGTCGGGGAATAACTCAGCTAGGAACAGGAACAAGCAGGAGCAGGTGGCATCGGCCTTCGGCTTCGGAACGAGTGAATTCGTTTCCGGTGTCATTCCAGGATTCCGGCGTCCAGTACTTACGGGGGTCGTCTCTGGTCGTCCACTCCGCTAGCCTAGGATGTCAATTTGTAGACCAGAGATGCTGTAGCAATTACTCCAAAGTGTTCCGGTTGTAGGTCACTGGACTCGAGGATGGGTCTCGATTTTGTCGAAACGGATTTTCTGTGCCTTAACGATTTGTTTTTGATTTGTTTTTGAATTTTTGTTTCCGAAGGTGGCCTTCTCAGTATGTGTTTGACTACTCTTGCTACCGTATCGTTACCTCTCACAGAAGTAAGGACGTTGAGTGTACGATAGGCTGGTGTATGATTCCCCGTGCTGGAATATAGTACTTAGGTTGGATAGGGTTAAATCAAGGTTAAATACTACTTAGTGATTTTCGGGCTTTCTTATTTCTATGCGTTACTACTGGTACTAAGTTCTCAGCCTTCTCTTTCCTTTCCAAATCCGTGTGGGGCTTTGGAGTCTGGCGGATCCCATGCACTTATTGCCCGAAGGCTCCTAGAAGCTCAAGGCTCTGGCCTCGAATCAAAGATAGGAGTTCCACAGTGGTTGTCAGACATTAAGAGGACAAACAGCATCAGACATAAGCCTCTTTAGAAGGACAACATGAAGGATACCTTCTCAGTCAGCTCGAGGGTCTACTCCTGAGTCTTAGACGGGTATGAGACTCTCGAGCGGCGAGTTGGGATATGGGGATTTTCCTTGGAAGGAGAACCCTGGCTACTACTTAGATGGACATGTATACCTTATATTTTATGCATTCCGATATGGTGTAGTGGCTAACATTATCGCCTCTCATGACGGTCTCTGATTAATTGCGCGATAGCCCGGGGTTCGATTCCCCGTGTCGGAATATTTAAGAATGACCACGAAGGTTTTTGCTTTTTCCTTCTGCTACTTCATTCAGAAGGTTACTTACTAGCCATGGCGCTGGGATTTGGACGATCGGATTGTAATGCAAGTATCAGTACTGAAATTACGTTTATTACACTTATGTGGCAGCTAAGGAAAAGAATTTGGACCTTGTCTAAACTTGAAAAATATGCTGAACAACTTGATCATTGAACACTGAAGTACTTACTGACAGGCTCCACCTAATCAAAAACAAATAAGAGCCCCATGATGTCCCATTCGTGTCCTCTTTCCTCCTCTCTCGTGCTCCTCTCTTATAGTTTTATAGTTTTATAGTTAGTCTAAGACCGAGTTTAGGCTGTTCAGGACCAAGTTCCTGCCTGAGCCTCGAAATCAAAGATATGAGATCCGAGGAATGATACGAACATGGTACCACCTACATCATAAGTTCCCACTCCCAGTGAGTCGGAAAGAAGCATGATATGAATCAGAGGGAATCAGACAAGTCCTCCTCCTGACCTATTACCCCCTATCCCTGGGTAGTCTGGGAATCACACACCAAGTTCATATATGTGTGCGTCTCCTCGAGGCTCAAGAGTCATTGATATATTAATTACAATGTGGCTATGGTGTGCTAGGTAGTAAACGTACTATGACCACATCTATGACGCGGACGTGCACCGAGTACACTAGTAGTAGCACACCACCTCCTCCGGGAGCGTGGGGATGTATTTTCAAATACTTTTCGTCCCATGGCACTGAAAATATTTTTTGCTCCGGATTCAACATGTAATGCCGTTGGCGCGCACACCTTTGAGAAGAGAAGCACAGAACTCGTGGCTACTGGGCAAAATCAACAAGGCCAAGGCAAGGCCCGCGAGAAGCCTGAACCTACGATAATCAAAACTTTAAGTGCCTGATATAGTAGTACGCCTATCTGTAGGTTTCTAAAGTGGTGTTCTGTTTCCAGAGGTTCGGGAATGATATTTATAAGTATCAAGTGCAAGTACCGGCGCGTGTGTGTGGGGTGTTTTTTCTTCCTTTGCTGCCGGAATGAGGGATGGAAGGGATGGAAGGGTGGCCAGAAGACTGAGAAGGTCAGGTAAACGTAGTAACGGCCGGCCATGAGGGCAATATGTTACGTTCAATGAAACTTCCATGACATGAATTCATGAATAACTTATGGGAGGGTAGTCGATACCTGGGAATAAAAGGACATGCCATGAATACGAAAGGATGAATATTAATCAGAAATCAAACATCCTATCCCGTCGTTCTGCGTGTTATCTGCAAGCTCCTGCGCTCCAGGCGGGGATTCAGGCTGGATTCAGGACACCATCATCAACGAATGTCAGTGAGTGCCGCTATTCGGAATAACGACTGAGTTCAAGGGGCTAATCTGGCTGATGCAGGTGGGGTGGGGAGTTGTGGATTCCGATAGTCCAGTGTTCCAGGCTCCGATGATCTTGACATGAAAGTATTCTAGTACTGTACCGTACTGTACAGTTATAGTACTAGGCTGTGATACAGCTCTAGTATTAGTGTACACTGGCTGTATTCGACGTCATGCAATATCATACGCTTGATGTTAGTACCGCGTGAACGGAAAAACCGACGAGTCCGACTCCGAGTTGTGAGCTTGCCGTGGAAGTGGAATTGGAATTTTGAAGAGAAATCCGGAGAAAAGGAAGCAAAAAGGAGAAAAAGGCCCGGTTTCAGAGAAATAAAAGTAAGACTTTAGTGGAACTTGTAAACTTTGTATGACGAATTGACCGAAAATAAGCATTTACGGCATCAATACAATATCGGGTTCAGTAAGTAGTTTCTGGCCGTCTGGCGCTTGAAAGTAACCAAGAACTGAACATCGCTCGCATCGCACATCGCTGCTGTCAACCAGTGAGTGCCCGCCCGCCCTTGTTCGGTTCGGCCGCTCGTTGCTGGTTACTACGACCAGCGTCTTTCTAGAGGTTTATCTTTCCTTTTAACTCTACTAGTACCAACTACCAACATTATCTCTAGTAATGACGGCAGTAATGTCCTCGTCCTCGCGTCTGATGTCTCCACCTCCGCCTCCGTCACGGTCGACTAATTCCAATTCTAAACCTTTATCTCACTCTCCTTCAAAATCAAATCTAAATGGAAATGCAGACAAGCTTACTGCTCGTCTTCGCTCATGGACAGCTACTCGCTCCAAGAAGCCAGCTGCTGTTCTGGCTCAAGCAGTAGATAGCGGTACTAGCAAAGGAAAGGAAAGAGAAACAATCAAAGAGAACAAGGGAAAATCCAAAGAGAAAGATAAAGAAAAGCCGCAAGGCAGCGGGATGTTGAGGAGACTTGAATCTCGTGTCAACTTTCGCCGATCTGGCTCTGGAAAAGAAGTTGCTGCTGCTGCGGTTGTACCCGGCAACGTGGGATATACCACTCCTTCGTTGAGAATGGGTTCAATGTCGTCCCCAGCTTTACAACTGTTCTCACCGGACAGTCCATCGCCCTCGAACTCTCCCATACCGACTTCGCCGTCCAAATCCCGTCCTGCAATTCCTACAACTTCATCTCGCAGAATATCTAGTCCATTTGCTAGTCCGAGTCCAAGACACACGCATAGACCCAGTAGGTCTACGCCAATTAACATTCCGCCTTCTTCATCAGTCGTATCATTATCTTCTCCTGCGACACCTCAGCGTGCCTCTTCCACGTCTCACCTTCCTTTGAATTCTCCTCCTTCTCCTACTTCCCCGACCTCCCCAACTTCTTCCCGGCCTCTCCGCCGTCGATCCGACCGCGATCCAGAGCATAACAATCGCGACGAGTCTCCTTCACCTGTCCATCGTCGACCTATATCTCCCACCCAACGTTCATATGCACATAACCGCCATTTCAGTATATCTAATACTTCTCTTGCATCTCCCACTGGGCCTTCGAATCCAGAACACAGGGAATTAATCCGTACTGCTACGGCGCTTTTATGTAGAGAGAGCCTCAAACCGCCAGCCTACTCACATGGGCACTGGAATACGGAAGCTGGGAAGAGAGATTGGGACGGTGTAGAGGTCCGCATGAGGGCACTAGTCAGGCTGGAGAGGATTTGGGGTAAGAGCGGATCTGGAGGTGCCAGCGGCAGTAACCTTAATGTTAACGCGTTAAGCTCCAGCGGATTGAGCGCGTCGGGCGAAGAGAGGGAAAAGAGGTTGTTTGGCGAGGCGTTGAGAGATGGGTATGTTTTGTGCCAGTAAGTCTCTTTTATCTCTCTCTATTCTCTACGTTATTTGCTTACATGTCGCGGCTAGCCTATTGAACAAGCTCCGTCCTAGTTCCCCACTTGTCCGTCCCGATCCCAACGACGATAGGTTATCTCCTTCCGCTCATAACCGCACGTCGAATATATCGAAATTCCTCAATGCTGCTTCTTCGTTTGGGTTGTCTGAGGAAGAGCTGTTCACCAGGGAGGATCTGGTAGACGGTACGCAAGAGGGTTTGGCGAGAGTTGCGAAGACTGTGCTGAAGCTTGCCGAGGTGAGGGAGTTTGCTGTGAGGGATGGCGCAGCTAGTCCCGGCACAGGTATGGCTAGTTCCTCCCGAGCCATTAGTCCTACGCGCGAACGCGAACGCTCCAGAACGAGGATTCTCACGGGCACAGACAAGCGATCCACTCCGAGTCCTGTTTCTGGGCCATACAAACTCGGGAATGGAAGTGGGACTATTTCTTCTCGCGGTGGAGCCTCAGCTTCTACGCCGAATCTGTTGGCTAGCTCAGGCTCAAACTCAAACTCACAGCCACAGCCACGCTCGCCTTCTCATGCGCATTCGAATTCAGTTTCGGTCTCAGGACAAGGAGGTGGTTCGAGTTCGCCTCCACAGCGTAAACGATGGAGTCCTCCGAATCTGTTACCGACTGTTATGTCTGGGTCTGGGTCTGGATCTGGAGGTTCCGAAGATGGGACGATGTCCAAGGCCACGTCCAAGGGAGGTTCCGGACTCAAGGATAAGGATGGGACGATTACAAAGTCTACCAAGGCCAAGGGAGCAGAATCCACAGGTACGTTGATCATCTCCAAATCCCAATTCCCAAGATCAACCATTAATAATTTATACTATTCAGGCGGTTCAAGCAATTCCGATGTGAAATACAGCAATTCCAATGGCAATGCCAATCGTACTGGCGGCAAAAACCAAAAATCATTATCAGTCACTGTGACAGTTACAGATCGAGTGCCTGCCGACAACGAAGACAACGAATTCAAAGTGGATGGGCCAAGTCGCGCCGGCGGTGATCGAGAGGAGGGAAAAGGGAAGGAAAAGGCGAAAGCCAAGATAATAGCAAATCAGGAGTCGATACAGATCACCCCGGCCCCGAATTCGATTTCGACACCGACGTCGAATTCGATCCCTACTCTGACCCCTCCGCCACCGCGATCTCCTCTTCGTGCCCGACCTCCACCGCTTTCGATTTCGCCGTCTTCAGTGTCGCCACAACGACAAAGGTCAATACAACGACAGCCAGCGTCATTACAGCAACAACAAAAATCCGCAGAGGATGATTTGTTCACTTTGGCTGTGAACAACGCCAACGTTAGTAATAGCTCTAGCAGTTCTCCACCTCGCCGGGTATCTGCTTCAGTGTCGGGTTCAGCACCCACAGCTAGCGATTCGTACGCTGATTCGATACGCGCATCTATTGGGGATTCTTCGTTCGCCAGTTCCTCCGTCGCCAATTCGCCTGTGGATCATAGTCCGAACTCCAACCTCTACAACTCAAACTCCAACGTGTACAGCAACTACAATCCGTCGCCTTCCAGAAACATCCGACAGTCTATCGTTTCCTCCACCTCAGGGATGACGGACACCACCACCACCACTACAACGACTGTGGTTTCGAGTTTGTTGGGGTTTAATTCGAACAAGTATGACAAGTCGTACGATAAAGACAGGTTTGGAACGATTAGGACGATGACGACGGAGGCTACATCTGTTGATGTCGGCGAGGGTGATGGTGACGCAGGT